GTATTCTACCGAAACTCCAAATTCAAATTTTTCGATTTTTCTTCACAATAACCATTGTCTAAACAATAAAAACACAATTTAAATCGTGGGTAACGAGCCTAAAATTTCACTAGCAAAACCAAAAGCTTCCGGATGAAAACTCAGCCATCCTCAGTTGGATAAAATAGTAAAAAGAAAAATAGTGAACATCTAAAATAGTACCTAGCTGTAACTTTCAAAGAGAAAATGCTGTCTATTTGAAAGGTAAAGCCAGGTACTGTTTTAGATGTTTATCATTTTTCTTTTTACTATTTTACCTATCCAACTGAGGATGGCTGAGTTTTAAGCCGGGACGTTTTGGTTTTGCTCGTGAAATTTTAGACTTGTTACCCGCTTTTTAAATCGTGTTTTTATTGTATATCTTGTCACGGGCTGCGGAGCGTTTATCATATCTCATTGTCTAAAAAGCTTGCCTCTACCCTCTGAAGACCCTTAACCGTAGGTTGTCACTTTTTTTTTTACTGATGGCGCCTGCAACTCCTTGCGTGGTTTCAGCTATGAACGCTAAGTCTATGGGACAAAAAATGTTCATAAATAATACTCTTTTGAACAACGGTGCTACTAGCACAAGTTTGAATTATAGACGGAAACTTTTCCCATAGACAGTTACAAATACGCCCGTATTGTCAAAAACTATCGGAACTCAACAGATGCCGCTCATACCTCCATCGATTACAACCACAGCAGCTCCTGGATCCGTTTGACGGCAATCTATCTCACTTGTTCTCTTTTGGCTCCATACATGTAACAGTGGCGAGGCGTTAAGATCGATTATCGATATATCCCCATTTGAAGCTATGGTGAAGAATCTATTATTTAGGTGTTCGTTGCAAACACCATGTTTATCGATCCTTTTTCATAGGTTAAAATGGCAGATCAATCGATGCATCGCAAAGCACGCCGCAACTGATAAGTGGCTATTTCTGACTGATTGTGAGAGGAAGAAGGAGAGGGAGAGAAGGAGAGATAGATGAAAAGAAGGAGAAGACAAAAAGAAGAAAGAGAAAGAGGAGACAGAGAAGGAGAAAGAAAAGGAAACAGAGGGAGATAGAAAATGAGAAAGAGAAGAAGGGTGTGGAATGGGATATGGAGGAATAGAAGGAGAGGAAGAAAAGGGAGACAAAAAATGATAAGGAAAGTAGGACAGGAAGAAAAGAGATAAAAGGAAAGAGAAGAAGAAGAAAGATGATGAGAAAGAGGGAAAGAAGAAGAAGATGAATGAGAGGGGGGATGATGAGAAAAGATGAAGGAGGAGGTGAAAGAGGGATATCACTGAAAAACAAAGTTCGGTCGTGCGAATCAAAGTTCGGTGTTCCATATCATCCATACTAATTTGGTTTGTCAAACCAAATTTTCGGTTCGTCAAACCCAACTTTAAGTTCGTGCGTAACTGAACTTCAACGGTAAAATGAACTGACGACCAAAGTTCGGTCATATGAACTGAAAGTTCAGTTTGACAAGCCGAATACTTGGGATGATATGGAGCACCGAACGTTCGGTTCATATTACCGAACTTTTTCGTGGTGAGAAAAAAAGAGAAAGAAAGAGGAAAAGAAGAAAAGGAGTGAAAATTAAAGAACATTTTAAGAAGAACCCAACGGGTAACCGAGGTTTCTTCTCCGTATGTAGAGTACCTATATTAAGAGAGTATGGCCACTGGGTCCCATGGAGAGGCTTAGGACCCAAAAATGGCGGTGCTTTGTTTTGGTTTTTGAGGATGGGAGGGGGGTTATTGCCAACTTTTGACGGTTATCACCAACCGCACTTGCTGCCAACCTTACTACATCTAATCATTTTTCTCAAAAATTGCACACGATTAGCCTTAAAAATATGTAAAAAAGTCGCAATAGTGCATTTGGGTAAAGTTCTCGTTACGATAAGCAAAGACAACTCCATTTTGAATCATTTTGCATTACATTAACTTTATGGCGTCAGCCATTTTTGGGTCCTAAGGGCTCCATTCAGCCTAAGATGGCTGAGCCAATCAGAGGTGGTAACTAGAGTACCTGTATAGCGAGAGTATGGACAGATGTGAAACTCCGAAAATCCATCAGGCCTTCACCGATGCTTCTGCGAATAAAGTTAGGGCCCAGAAATGCAGCCAACCTATGAATTTCAATTATCCAGAACGATTTACTAATACTATTGTTACGAACCGTCGTTTATTAAGCACGTGTTTGACTCAGTTTTTGCATAAATTTACTCAATTTCGCGGAAGAACGCTCATTTCTGTACATTCTTTGCCATCATGGTTAGAATTGGAATCTGCAGACTGGCAGTGAAATTTTGTGCGTTAGAAGTTGGTTAGAAGGGTGGCTGCACTTTTGGGCCCTAAGCCCTCCATGAAGCGATCTGTCCATACTCTCGCTATACAGGTACTCTAGTGGTAACTCCAGTGGCCATACTCTCTCAATACAGGTACTCCATCCGTATGGAATGGACGTCACCTCGGTGACTTTAAGTCCGAATAAGAAAGTAGAGAGTGTAACGAGGCAACTGCGCTGCTGGAGCCGCTGGGACCATACGCCACCTAGACGTGGCCAATTGCCATTTGCACTCCTCGTCGACGCTCCAAGTCTGACGTCGACGTCGCAAGGAACTGAGAGTCGCTCTGAGTCGCTCTTTACTTGGCCGCCACTATCATCGCCGCGCACTCCTGTTTTCCAGTCTTTCAAGGCCGCTTCTCGCTCGCTCCAGAGCGCTATCCCGGGGACGCTCCACCCAAGTTAGATCGAAAGTAGGCGAGAAGTATGAGAGCGAAGTCGTATCGATCAAAGTTCTGCATAATCGGGGGATTTTATAGTATTTTTTATCATTTTTTGAAGTATCGTTCGTGAAGTTCCCGACTCATAGATGGGGATGTTTTTTCGTATCGATCCAAGTTCTGCATAATCGGGGGATTTTTTAGTTTTTTTTTTACCATTTTTTGAAGTATCGTTTGTGAAGTTCCGGACTCATGGATGGGGATGTTTTTTCCCCCCTCAATCTTGCGGGTGTTTTTTCCTACGGGCCGGTGATATTATCATGGGATCGGACCTTGATTGGATTAAAAGTATGTAAAGTAGTGCGTTTGTGCTATTTTTTTTACACATTTGTCACACTAAGAGGATGTTTCTGCTTTAGTTGGTGAAATTCTTGGACTAATAAATGAAATATAAATGTGTTGAGTTAATTTTTCCCTCCCAGCGAGTCAATGTGACTGCGATCTGATTATTCCCGACAGTGCTGTTTGTTGTTTTTATTATTTTTGTAATTATTATTGTTTGTTCTTGAATTTCGGGTTCTTTTTCAAAAATATTGCTTACGTGTATCGGTTGCGTAATAGATGAAGATATGATCGTGCTCTTATCCCGCGTGATTTTTTTTCTTTCTTTGGAATTTAACAATTAGAATTGTATGCATTAGAATATGTGAGACATTATTTTTGATTCTTTAAAAAAAAATCATTTTTAATGCTGCGTGTACAATTCACAAGTGTGCTTCGTAACTTTTAACACAAAAAAAAAAAAAAAAAAAAAAAGTCTATCACCATTGAACTTAGTTCTAAGATCTGCATTAACTCCCGCACCGATTTTAACCGCTCCATTTACAACGACTTTGACCATATTTTTATCGAATCTCGAAAGAGTTCCCGGTCGTTAGCCTGTTAAATTTTCTTTGGCATGGATCACAACTTTGATTCGTAACTTTTCATCAGAAAAAGAAAAAAAAAAGTCCGTCACCGTTGCACTGAAATCCATAACCCTCCTTGAAACCTTACCGACTTTAACTTCTTTTTTTTTTTTATCGAATCTCGGAACATTTCCCGGTCGCTCACCTCTTAAATTCTCTTCGGCTCGGATCACAAGTGTGTTTCGTAACTTTTCTCCGAAAAAAAAAATGTCCACAACCATCGAATTGTAATCCAAAACCCTCTCTAACCCCGCACTGACTTTAACCGCTCTATTTACGACGACTTTAACCATTTTTCATCGAATCTCAAAAGAGTTTCCGGTCGCTCGCCTGTTAAGTTTTCTTCGCCACGTTTTGCACACCAAAAAAAAAAAGAAAAAAAAGAAAAAAATTGTCTATCACTACGAATTTAAATCCAAAACCCTCTCTAACTCCTGCACCGATTTTAACCACTCCATTCACAACGACTTTGACCATATTTTCATCGAATCTCGAAAGAGTTCCCGATCGTTCGCCTGTTAAATTTTCTTAGACACAGTGCATAAGTGTAATTCGTAACTTTTCATGAGGAAAAAAAATTTCCATCACCGTTGCACTGAGATCCAACCCTCTTTAAAAACCTTACCGACTTTAACCTTTTTTTTTATCGAATCTCGGAAGAGTCGCCGGTCGCTCGCCTGTTAAGTTTTCTTCGCCACGTTTTGCACATCAAAAAAAGAAAAAAATTGCCTATCACTACGAATTGAAATCCGAAACCCTCTCTAACTCCGCACTGACTTTAACCGCTCTATTTACAACGACTTTGACCATTTTTTCTTGGGATCTTGAAAGTTGTCCGACCGCGTTCGTGGGTCCGGCGTCGCTGCCGCGGTGTCAGAAAGCTCTCCACTCCAACTCCGGCCACGGGCGCGCATTCAGTCGCTATCAGTGCCACCGCTAACTTCGCTCCGACCGTCCGTAAACCGCACGACCGGTGCGTAGACCCCTCGTGTATCACCGCTCTATCATCGTGTATCACGCATCTTCGCCGCGTCTTCGATTTGCATAATCGCGATCGATAAACCGATAATCGGGACTTCCGATCGGCTGGACCCTTGTCTAGTCCGCCACTTTGGACAGTGCTAACCGCGGACACTTCGATTTTTATCTCGGCCATTTTTCAAAATCAAACTTGTATTTTAGTTGAGTATTATTTCGTGACTTTAGTCGTTTTTACCGCCTGTGAACTCATCCTCGTTTATACAGTTTAAATCGGACTTATATTTTAGTCGAATTATTTCTTGACTTTGTAGTTGTTGTCGTTTTTAGCGCTTTTGAACTTACCGTTAGTTAAGATTGTTTTTTTTAGTTGTTTTGTAATTTTGAAAATTTAATTCACGTCGGAATTTCGGGTTTGACGGATTGTAGTCGCGTGCTTTTCTGTTTTTTGACTTCGTACTTTATTTTTTTTTCGTGTTGCGATAATTTTTCGGGAGTTTGATTTTTTTGTGTGCGCGACGTTGGAGAGGAAAGGATACCTTCCACTGATCAACGTAAGATTCTTTATGATTTTATTTATTTATTTTTAAAAATTATTCTATTGGAGGATTTAGTTTTATTTACAATTTATATCGCGTTTCAAAATTATTTTGAAAATTAACAATTCGTCCGATATCCTGAATTTTTCACCATGAAAGCGCCTATTAAGCGTATCGAAAAACCAATCAAAGTATAATTCGCCACTTTTTAATTTTTTAAATCATTTATTTTTACGCTGGCAATCATTTGATAATACAACAGATCATCGACAGTCTTTAATTTTTGAGTAAACTGGTGATGATTTCATACATTCTTTGAATATAAAATAAAATAAAAATAAGATAGTAACATAAAAAGTGGGGGAAAAAAACAATAACTAGGCAAATTATGAACTCAAGATTCAATTTAGTAAATCACATTCTAAGTGTGGACGCCTCGGAAATTATTCAACTTTCCACCCTTATTTTCATTTTTTTAAATTGTAATGAATAATTTTAATATTAAATATTAGAATAAATTAACACAATTTTAATTTGACAAATTAACTGCGATTGCGGCATTGGACTTTTTAAAACCACATGCTCTTTGACTAAAAAGTGACACCTACAATATTTGCATTAATTATGTTTTTTCTATCGAAACTGCGATTTCGCATCATCCTCATTGAAACGTAACCGTCAAGATAGATATTTTGGATTAGATCATAAAGAAGGTTAGTAATAATAATTATTAGACCACGTAAATAAAATAAAATAATTTAAAAAACGCAAAAATTGTTTTATTCCCTCGTGATAAAATATGATAATTTAAACCCCTTCCAGTCTTCATAGTAAAAAATGAAATAGAGCCATCGAAAATCAACTGTAGTATTCATTACCGAACAATATATTCAGCTCTTTCATACTATTTATTAGTACTCAGTGGCTCAATAAAAAACGAAATAAAATCATCGGCTACAGAGACTTGAACGCTAGGGTAAGATTGTTGCGAATAAATAAAATTTAAAGATCCATCGCCGCACAAATTTGACTATGAAATTTAGTTCCTTGTGGACCTCCGGTAAATATTACATAATAATGTATACATTGATTTTAATCGATGCTTGAGAATGTAATATTGTACCGTTACATCTATATCTGAGCTATTAACCTTCTCGAAGCTCAGGTTGTGCGCTTGTTGTGTGCAATTATAGGTGTGAAAATTTCCCCCCGGGTCAGAGCGGGTTAAAAAGAACATGTTTCCGCCTTATTTTTAAATTGCCATGCATAGGCTAAAACATGTTCAATCACTACCAGAACAAATACGGAAATTTATAAAAATAATTTCCCGGGCAATTTACCTCTATAGAATATATTCAAGGTACAGATCGGGGAAGAGGAAGAGAATTTTACATGAAACGAAATATTGAACGAATGACGATATCTAAATTCACTTGTATTTTTTGCAGTTTAGAATCAATATCAAACGAATCTTGTCAGCACTAAACGTACTTAATAGAAATAGAAGCCCTCGCCCAAAAATTAAATTAATGTAAAAAATCTGCAAATGAAAAAGAATTTAAAAAAAAATTAATAATTTCGAATTTTTTACCGATTTGAAATAGAGACAAACCATAGAGCGCCATTAAATTCTAATCAAAAGTTAATATGCAATTTTTATAAGAGTGATCATTAAATATTTGCCACTAATTAAAGACAAGGATTTGTTTTGAAAAATGTTTTTTTGATAGATTCCAATTTTTTCAATGCGTTTTTCAATTTGGATCACTGATAATTAAAAATCTAGGGAAAGTTTCTAGTTAGTCTTGTGTTAATATTCCCTGTATGATTACTTCTTAGTTAATTATGATATATTTGTTAGCTTTTCACAACGAAGCTAACAATAACACTGAAAAGGGACTCAGGCCAACACAAAAAAGTTGCTGCGGATCTGATCATGACGTGTTAACGCCTTTAGCAGAAATATGCTAGAATCAATTCACTATCCTCCTGACTTCGAACTTGAACTTCAGAGTGATTGCGTTGGCATTGAACCAGCACGCATACATTTGGCGTTTAAAAGCTGAAGTGCACCGTACTCGTGCAAGAAAAGGCAAATCAGCTGAAAGAGAAATACTATTACCTTTGCGAGTGAAGGTAGTAAGGTATCTTTAATTTATATACGTCTTTGCCAGTGGCGTGGCTTGCTGTGCGATATATCGATTAATCTGCCATATATAAACCTACGGAAAATTGTCGATAAACAGGGCGTCGGCAACGGACACCGTAATGATCGATTCTTTACCATAGCTTCAAATGGGGGAATATCAATGTATCATCACATAGCCCGCCACGCCACTGCGGGCCGATTATTGAAATTGATAGACAAAGCTATAGACAAGGAAGACAACAGGGATATGAAGGGATCCTATTGGTGGAAGCGGGTGGTTGCAATGGACAAAGGACGTAGGTAATAGACTAACTAACATCAACTCACTAGAGAGCCGATAGTTATTGCATCATTTACCCCCTTAGTCTATAAGACCACCCTTTTCAACCAATAGGATCGCTCTATACTCCTTATTTCTTCTTTGTCCATAGCTTTTTCCATACATTTCTATGATCGGCCAGATGGTCTGTACTGAAACTGAAAGAAAACGAATCCTACCCGTGTGACGTCATCATCATTGGTATAATCATTCACACGACGATGTTTTCAAGAGATAATGTTATAGCTATTTTTCCATTTAAAAAAATAAACTATGGAAGGAAATGTGCAACGTCGCAAACGCAGATACTTATTTCTATAGATTCACCGTCAATTCGTCGTTTTCTTGAGGACTAAAAGTAACTTCATTCCAAGGTTGCAAAATTGACCCAAACGATTCGATTTTTGATAAGAATGCACTTGTGCAATTTTTATCGGAAACTTTTCTGATTTTTGCTTAACATCAGAAGCAAAATTAGTGACATTGCTAATTAGAAATGCTCAAAATTCTCCTGGTAAAACTGCAATTTGGGAGGTGAAATTTTGGAAACATTGAGATGTAGTTATACGTGCTTTCGTGAGGGAACGATGAATTTGCACCAAGATATTTGATGATGAGAATGATGAAGTGGCGTTATCAAAAGCTATTCTACGCACATGCATCTTTTCGTTTTTCTTTGGAAAAAAAGGTGCCTGCACTTTCCACACATTTCGCTATTCCAAGGTTGCAAAACTGACTCAAACGATTCAATTTTTGCAAGAATGTACTCGTGCAATTTTATCCAAAATTGGTCTGACTTTTGCCCGAGATTAATAGAAAAATAAGTGACATTTTTACGTGACACGCTCAAAATTCTCTTCATAAAAATGAAATTTGTGAGGGAAAATCTGTCAACATTGAGCTTTAGTTAAGTTCTTTTTCGGAGGGAAACAACGTATATGCATCAGCGTGTTTGAGAGAATGATGAAGTGGTGCTATCAAAAACCATTCATCTCTCATGCATTTTTTTCCTTTCTTTTTTCTTTCCTTTTTTTGAAAAAATGCCTGCGTTTTCTACACACTGTTCGCTGTTTCAGCAGGGCAGAGTTATCTGGGTTACATTTTGCAATGAGAGCCACTATCTCTGGCTCTTCCAGAAAAGCACCTTCCTGCATAGGGAAACCAATAGCATATATGTCATTTCTAAAATATGCCAGAAACAGTGGTCCTTTATTGCAAAATGTGGTCCATCTGTAGAGATGCATAATGTCCTCCTTAATAGAACAACAATATCGAGTTAACGTCATCTATCCGGACAAAACTGAATATTCTATAGGAAAATCTAGAGCACGATGATCCATTGAATCTTCACGGTGAAAAAGCAGCCATGCACAGGTCGACCCAGATCCAGGCGGCTAATTTACAAATTATGCGATTGATAACGTAATTAACAACAAGAAGCGGACAGTATGCGGTGAGCGGCCGCGTCACACACTGGTCTGAGTCAATACGAGGAGTCGGACAAAATTGGAAACTTTGAAACCTCATAACTCCCGATATACAAAATTTTGAGGTTCTAAAAGTGATTCCATTGGTTTTCTCGTGAACTTTTCTTCCATATACACCCCTTAAAATTTAAAATGCGAAACTTGAAACATCAAAATTTGCAGTTTTAGTTAGGAATTTTATGTCCGATGTCTGTGATTCACTGGGTCCACTGTGCGTCAGCACGGGCGCGGGTGGTACGGTGCCGGAAAATTAGACCCCGCTCAGTTTCAGATGCTATCGTCTGTTTTACTCTTACGCACGCAGACGCGCTGTTGCCAAAATGTACCGTAAACAATACTTTTAACAGTGATATACTAAGAGTACCTACATAGGGGGAGTGCGGAATCACTGGAAAAAAAGAAACACATTGGATCTAGAGTCCAGACTCTTAAAAACATCGACAAGAAAAAATAATTTGATTCAATCAGATTTAAGCTAAAATCAAGAACCCAGCCTCTTAATTCGAGCGGGTTTCCTTTTGATTCAAGCTTAAATCTGATTGAATCAAGAGTCCTTTTTCTTGTCAATGTTTTCAAGAATCTGGACTCTAGATCCAATGTGTTTTTTTTTCCAGTGTAGGGCCAAACGCGTCTGCAGTTGCTCTCCTGAATGGACGTAACTAGTGTTGCACCAAACAGCATATCTCTTCGAGGGAAAACTGTGCTCGAATGAACTTTTTTCCTCTGCATTGAGATTTTCAGCTCTATGCTGAACTTTTAACGCACGTTCGCAAAAAACTCCAACATACTGTCTTACGGCCCGTGCGTCCAACGCAATCAGTTTATCGTTAAATATGAAGCGCGAGACGGCAGGATCGAACCTGCGGACTGATCATTGAAATTGATGGACAAAGCTATAGACAAAGAAGACATAGGGAGTATGGAGCCATCCTATTGGTTGAAATGGGTGGTTCCGATAGACAAAGGGAAAAAATGATAGACTAACTGTCGGGTCTCTCGCGGATTGCCGTTAGTAAGTCTATTACCTACCTCTTTTGTCCATTGCAACCACCCGCTTCCA